TTACTCATACTATGGCTCCTAGCAAACAGTCTGACGTTCCTTTGTATCCTCTTTAAAAGCTTTCTTTTCTCCTTTCCCTTCTTTCATGGTACTTTTCAAATAGCTTACTAGAAACTGGCTTGTCATTAAAAGTTAACAATTGCCCTGGCATCCTAGAAGATTTTAATTCTTCATTTTTTTAAAGAACATTAAAGAAATTGAATTATAGTGGATTTGCCATGTTGTGTTAGTTTTTGGTGTACAGAAAAATGATTCAATTATGTACATGCATATATATTCTTTTTCAGATTCTTTTCCATTATAGGTTATTACAAGATATTTTACATAGTTCCCTGTGCTATGCAGCAGGACCTTGTTGTTTATCTCTTTTATATATAGTAGTTTGTATCTGCTAATTCCCTACTTCTAATTTATTCTCCCACCTTCCCCTTTGGTAACCATGTTTGTTTTCTATGTCTGTGAGTCTGTTTCTGTTTTGTAAATAAGTTCACTCGTATCATATTTTAGATTCCACATTTAAGTGATATCGTATATTTGTCTTTCTCTGACTTACTTCACTTAGTATGATAATCTCCAGGTCCATCCATCTTGTTGCAAATGACAATAATGTGTTTTAAAACAAGTTCCCCATATTCCTTTGTTAAAACTGTGATAAAATATATAGAACATAAAACTCACCATTTTAACCATTTTAAAACTCACAGTTCTGAGGCATTAAGTACATTCACACTGCTGTGTGACCATCACCACTATTCATCTCCAGAACATTCTCATCCTCCCAAGTCAAAACTCCATACGTACCCATTAAACACAAGCACCCATACTGCCTCTCCTTTGGCCTCTTATCTTTACACATCTGCCTATTCTATGTGCCTCATGTAATTCCCTTTAATTGACTCAATGTCTAGAAATCCAACTCAACAGCAGAAATGGGATGCCACATCAAGAGGAAGCGGGCTTGTTAAATTTCTAGAGTTTATTTTAGACTTCTGTTGTGATACAGCTAGACTTGCAGAGACTTACAACTTGGGGTTCATGGTTAAATATCAGATTTTTTAGATTCCTTTACTTTTACAAATGCTCATACTGGGTTAGTTGCTTCTAGGAATCAGGAATCAGATGGCTTATGTTTCTTTAACTATAGGCAGAGCTAGCTGATTTCTAAAAGGGAGATTGTTTCCTCAAGGGACTGTTGACCTAGTTAACAGCTAGAGGGTGGATCCTTGGGTGTATTCAGAGCACTTTCCAATGCCTTTGGGGTGACAGTGTAAATAACACCTATTTTCTTGGCCCAGGTAAACAGAGGAGCCTGGCAGGCTACAGCCCACAGGGTCGCAAAGAGTCAGACACGACTGAAGCGACTTAGCACAGCATAGGATAGCTATGAGAACTGAAGCAGGTGCTCAAGTAAGCCATCTCAGTGCTCTGGTTAGAGAAGTTGTCATCATTGTTTAGTTTTTGAAGAGAGGCAGGAAGGAGGAAAGGATTTGAACTTGTTTTCTCCCATCTTGCTCCAGAAGATCAAGATAAATGTGCAGATGTGCCTAAAATTAATAAGAACGAGCACAAAATGATGCTCCTAGAATGCTCAGGCACCGTCTCCCCTCAGGAAGCGTTAGCTGACAACTTGACCTGTAGCTTTTGCCTCCTCTGCAACCCTCAGGTGATTTTCGGTCTCATTCACCTGATGGGGGCCATCCACTGTCTGTGTTTAATATCTGATTCACTCTCTAATAAGATTATAAGCTCATCAAAGACAAGAATCAGGTCTTCTCTGAAGTGTTTACCATTGCATCTGCCCTGGAGCTAGCTTTCTTTAAGCACCAAACAGCATTTTGCTCACAGAAGGTGGTCAACCTTAATTTGGTGAGACTGTTCCTAGAAGGAACAATATCTGATGTGAGCTCTCTGGACTTCTGTTTTTCTGAGTTCTCATTCTTTATCATCACCTCCCCTTCTTTTCTCCTCAACACGTGTGGGGTTTTCCTTTCTTCTATCCACAGTCCATGCTACCTAAAGCAGGGGCTCGTGAGCTTTTGGGGCAGCTGTGGTGGAGCAGAAAGAACACTGCGTTAGGAGTCAGAAGACGTGGGGTTGAGTTCTGGAACTTTACCACCCAGAAAGACCTTGGTGTGCTCATCTGTAAAAATAAACATAACAGTACTTCCTTTGTAGGGTTGCCATGAGGATTACGCATGGGCTAGGATGTCCAGGTGCATTTTGATCTGTAATGCTATGTTGGGAGATGTTAGGGTGGTTAGGGATGTGGTCTCGGGGACCAGCTCACCTGGGTGGGAAACTTGGCCATGTCCCTTAAACCCTGTCTCAGATTCTGGATCTGAAAAAATGGCAATGATTATGATACCCACTTTGCAGGCTTTGTTCTAAGACTTCAACAATGAATGTGTTTGTAGACACAGGGTAGGGCTTCCCTTGTAGCTCAATGGTAAAGAATCTGCCTGCCAATGCAGGAGACACGGGTTCAATCCCTGGGTTGGGAAGATCTCCTGGAGAAGGAAATGGCAACCCATTTCAGTATTCGCTTCATGAACAGAGGTGCCTGGCGGTTACAGTCCTCGGAGTGGCAATAGAGTTGGACACGACTTAGTGACTAAACCACAGACACGTGGTAAGAAGCATGTGGATGACATTGATTATCATGTAGTTATGACGAGGTGCTATTTTTCCATAGTGAGGTGTCATTACTGAATGAAGATAAATTCCAGTCTTAGCCCCAGTTTTGTATTTTGTTCTTATCTTTTTTTTCCAGTTTGCAAGGTGTTTCCACTTGGATAATTTATCACCACTGAAATCTCTGCCTAAAATGGATTATAACCACAATCCTAATATCTCCCCAAACCTTGGCTGCTCTTCACCTCTACTACTGGTGGTGGCAGGCTCCATCCTTAGTTACCCATATTTACCTTCTCATAGTTCTCCTGGACTCTTCCCCCACTCCCTCACCCTCTGGGTCCAAGTCGTCAACAGGATGTGCTGTTTCAAACATACTGAGGTTCAGCCAGAAGAGCTGGAGACAATGTCCTTTGCTCTAAGAGAATATTATGATTATTAACCAGCTGTTTTGGCTGGAGTTTTCATAGAAAACAAATCCATCTTGTGTCCTTCCAGCACATGGAAAAGTAGATGATTGATCAGCAATGGGTCGTAATAACAAACTTTCTGAAGATCAAAATCACACATCAAAGAACTCTGTGATCTCACTTTCCTGGTTTGAAAATAAAAACACAGATGCATTCTTGATTATGTATATCCTAATCCTTCTGAACTGTATTAAAAAAAAATCTACCATATGATAAGCTTCACACGTGTTTATGGCTGCATTTTCTAGGAAGAATTTCCATTTCGATGTGTTGGTTCCCAGATCGTGTTACTAGTGAGTTAGACAGGATGGAAAATAAGCTATCAAGCTGACATCTTGGATGAATGCAACTACAGATTAATGGGTAGGGGAATTCTTTCAGGGCTGTGAGGAAGTACACTGTAAGTTGAGCAGTAATTTCATCAGAATATGCCAGAAGACACAGGCAAATTGCCAGGCTGGGATATGATGGCAGTGAATACATTGGCTTTTGCTATCATGACAAAATGTCAAATGTTCTTTTTTAAAAAAATGATTATACGGGTTCATAAGATGGAAAGAAAGAAACTATCATAAGATAGTTGAGTTGCTGGTATTTTTTTTTAAATGAAATAGTTTCAAATAGTGATCAGATGAGCAAGAAATCTAATAAATTATCTGGCATGCCAGCTTGTTGTAACAGATCATAAAATAAAATCTTGTGATTTCTTCCAGGTCGCTGTTAGAGGAACCAAGAAGAAAAGACAAATATCATATGATATCACTTTTATGTGGAATCTAAAATATGATACAAATGAATTTATTTGCAAAAAAGGGGAACAGACTCACAGATATAGAGAACAAATTTACAGTTACCAAAGGGGCACGGTGGAGGTGAGGGATAAGTTACGAGTTTGGGATTAACATATACACACTACCTATGTAGGGCTTCCCAGGTAGCACAGTGGTAAAGAATCTGCCTGCCAATGCAGGAGACCCAAGAGACACGGGTTTGACCCCTAGGTCGGGAAGATCCCCTGGAGTAAGAAATGACAACCCTCTCCAGTATTCTTGATTGGAAAATCCCCTGGGGGCTATAGTCTATGGGGTTGCAAAGTGTCAGACATGACTTAGGAACTGAATATACACACACACACTAAGTGTGTAAAAAGGAAATAACAGGGACCCGCTGTAGAGCAGAGGGAGCTATACTCACTATCTTGTAATAACCTGTAATGGAGGGGGATCTGAAAAAGAATGTGTGTGTGTGTGTATATGTATACCCACATACAAACAGATATATATATAGCTGAGTCACTCTGTTGTTCACTTGAAACTGACACAACATTGTGGGTTAACTATACTTCAACTTTTTAAAAAATGGTTTAAAAATTAAAAGAGGAAGGTTAGATTGAAAATTCGAATATTTAGGTTCTTCTATTTCCTTCAGCTATACGATCTCAACCCACCACTTATTCCCAAGCCTCATTTGTCTGACTTGTAAAACAAGGATAACATAATAATATTTATTCTCTTAAATCATGAAGTGGCTGTGATGATTACTTTAAAAAAATAGATGAAAAATCTTTGAAAAATTTAAACTATAAAATATCCTCTTATTAGATATAATACTTTTTTCCTGGGATTTACACCTTTTCCCTATCACATTTTTTACTGGTTCCAAACTTCCTCTTATCTTTTAGAAATGCTCAGCAAATAGTTCTGTTGTTTATTAAGGAGATGAGCTTGGAGCTTGTTTACAGCTGTTACTGTGCACTTAATATTTTCTTCTGAAATGCCTATCTCTCTCCCAGCAGCCCTGCAGGACAAAGAGAAAGTGCATTGCAGGTACACTGATTGATCTGGGGGATACAGGAGGGAGCCCCATTTTGTTCCTAAGGAGACTAAAATGATGGATTAGAATGAGGTAAGTTCTTATTAGTGCTTTCCTTTAGGTTTGACAAGATATATTCAGAAATAGCCTAATAATGTTAACTGATATATCTTGATTTACACACAGTTACTATTTGAAAGGGGAACATCAGGAATCGTCATATTTAATAGACTCTAAGATCACATTGCTTCCAAGACGTGTCTTTATGTTGTTTCCTGTAAGAAATAACACAAAATACCACCAATTATAATTTTAAGATATTAACGATTGAAAGCAGGCCCTGCTTTCAGAACTTTTCAATCAAGAGAAACTGTATGACAGAGTTGATGAAATATGGTAATGTTCTGAGTGTCTACTGTATCCACAGAATGAATAAGGATGTGCCTTCTTTATTCATTTAATTCTTTCAACAGACCCAAGAGGCAAGTATTCTTTTGCCCATTTTCACAGATAAGCAGGCTGAGATGCAGACAGGTTACTCTGCAAAATGACCCACAACTGATAAGTAGTGATGCTGGAATTATGATCCAGGTCTGTCTGATTCCAAAGCCTATAATGCCACATTAGGTTTCACTGTACCTTGACCTTGGTGGCGCTACTGGTAAAGACCCCTCCCGCCAACGCAGGAAACATGAGACACGGGTTCAATCCCTGGGTTCAGAAGACCTCCTGGAGGAGGGAATGCAACCCACTTCAGTGTTTTTGCCTGGAGTATTGCGCAGAAAGAGAAGCCTGGCCAGCCACAATTTATAGGGTCCCAAAGAGTTGGACACGATTAAAGCGACTTACCATGCATGCTTCATTTGTTCTCTTGGCAATTTAAGGCTAGGAAGTGTTTGGCTGGCAATATTGTGTCCCCCTAGGCAATCCTCCCTTTATTTATTTATTTTGTTCTTGTTTTGGCTGCACCGCATGGCACGTGGGATCTTAGTTCCCAGATCAGAGATTGAACTCGTGCCCTCTGCAGTGGAAACACAGTCTTAACCTCTGGACCACCAGGGAAGCCCCATCCTGCTTTTAAAATCATGAGTTACCTTTGACTTGCACTGGATGTCTGGCCCCAGAATTAGATTAGATCCAAGACACCAATTTGCTGAGGTCTCTTCCTATAGATGGACGGCATGTTCTGCCCTCAGTGGAGAGAAGGCCACTCCAGAGACGCGACGGTGATGAGATGCCTAGGTGCCACAGCCAAGGGGCTGAGGCAGGCAGCTTCCCAGGGCAGTGCGTCTTCATGATGCCATTTTTATTGTGGAGGAAAAGTTTGCAAGTCAGAAACAACAGAGAACATAACACACACCCGGTGCCCACTAGCCAGACGCAGCAGATGTCCACGTTTTACCATACGTGCTTCAGAGAAGCCAAAATCCCTTCTGTTCCCCTTCCCAGTCCCGTTGTTCCATTCCCTCCTTCCTGAGATGTCAGTTGCTGCCATCATGAATTTTGTGTGTCTCTTTGTTTTTCCTACTTAACATAATAGTATATATTTAAAACATTTGCAGAGATGGCGGCATGTTAGATTTATCATCCTATGAATGTCTTTGTTTCCTTCACATTATGTTCCAAAGATGTCACCGTGTACCATGTTGGTTTGTATGAATCCAGTTCATTCATTTCAACTTCTGCTTATTGTTTCGTAGTATGACTATATCACAAAAATCGATCAATTTCCCTATTTTTGGCTATTATATAGAATGTTAGGGCTTTTCCAAAGGCCCAGCAGGTAAAGAATCTGCCTGCCATGTAGGAGACACAGGAGACTTGGGTTCAATTCCTGGATCAGGAAGATCCCCTGGAGTAGGAAATGGCAACCCACTCCAGTATTCTTGCTTGAAAAATCCCGTGGACAGAGGAGCCTGGGAAGTGCACTATATATACACTAAAGGGTCACAAAGAGTCAGACACGACTGAGCACCTAGGCACACACACGCTCAGAGTGTTATAATCAATGTGCTTCTGCACATAAGGGACGTTTCCTTTAGTGTATACACCTAGAATGGTTAACCGGGTCACAGGCCATGTGCGTTTTCCATATTGCCGAACGTTCTCCAATGTTTGGGTTGGTTTCTACTCCTGTCAGCCATATGTGAGAATTCCCAAAGCCCCACGTCTTCAATAACACTTGGTATCGGTCGACTTTTCAAATTTTGTAAATCTGATGAATGGGAAATGGTAACTGTTGTTTTAATTTAAGGTGAGGTTTTATTTCCGACAAGCATCAAGGCTCATCTGAATGGCCTGTAACCACAGTCCCTCAAGTCCCGGTCTCCCAGGCCTTGTTATCACGCTCTCCACCCTCCATCCTCACCTCAGTGTTTGCATCAGATGGAGAGGTGGCGGCAGGCTCGGGTGTGGCCCGCAGCCTGTGTGGGAGGTGTGTCCTGTCCTGAGGCTGATGACTGTCTTTGTTCCCACATCCTGTTAGTCTGCAGGACTGCAAGACCATAACAAATATTGACCCCAATTTTCTTAAGTGTAGGTTTCTCTCTGTTAATTGTTTGGGCACATTTAGGAGCCTGAAGAGTTTGTAGAGTAGAAAATGCCTCCAGCCACAGGGCCTTGGAGGAAGATTTCCGGCTTCCGGATAAAAGCAATATTTCTTGGGACTCCCCTGGTGCCCCAATCGTTGACTTCGCCTTCCAATGAAGGTTCAATTCCCGGTCAGATAACTAAGATCGAGCACATGCCTAGCAGCCAAAAACAAAACCAAAATGTAAAACAGAAGCAATATTGTAACAATTTAATATTTTAAAAAAAGGTCCAAGTTAGGACTTCCCTCTAGTTCAGACGGTAAAAATAAATGGCCCACATTAAAACAAAAAATATGGAAAAAAAAGCAATGTTTCTTAAGAATCTGTGCCCACAAGACATGGTGGCAATAATTTGTTGGTTACGATTCTCCCTGGATTCTTCAAGTCCAATTACAAATTAGACCTTGTGCAGCGTTAAGGAAACTGGACTTGAGGTACTTAGCTGATCTCAACTCCACCTCTTAACAAATAGATGATTTGGGAAAACATCTTAAAGCCACATTTTTCTCATCTGCAAAGAGGTGATCTTAACGCCTACACTATAGAATTGTTAGGATTAGATGAGGTAATGCAGGAACAGGTAAGGGCTCTTTGGTTACCTATTTGTGTTAATAACTATCTGATTTATTTTAACTGACTCAACTTTTAGAAACTGGGAACTCTCAAATAAATACCTTCATTTCTTGCTTCCCTTTAAAAAAAAAAATCAAAGCTCTGGACCAGAGCTGGACCAGATCCCATGTATTCTGATAATCCTAGGAGGTCCTCTGGATGGTCAGGCTTTCTTTTATTTGTCATGCCCCTCCTCCCACATTTATTTACATCTCCTGCCTGGCCCTTGGGGGAATCAATTTGCAGCTTCCCTGATTGCCAGTCTTCAAGGTTCCTTCATGAAGATTAAGCCATTGTTCTCTGAGCAGGTCCTTAGGAATCCTGTCTACTGCTTCCAGGGATGAAGGGGACAGAGAAATAATATTTGGTGACTGGCCGGTTCTATGCCAGACATCTGTGCTCTGTACTTTACATGCCCTGGATTATTTAACCTTCACAGTAGCTGTGAGGTATTGTGTGTACTATCATCTTCAAATACAAAATGCAAGATGCGTATGACAAATGGTGAAGCAACCTTGATGAGTTGAATAAACTGCTCCAGGACATGCCACTACAAGAGAGACAGAGCAGGGATGTGATGCTGGCTATTTAGAACACTTAACCTACTCATAATACTGTGCCAAAGGAGAGAAAATTAGCTTATCAAAGATTTTGGGGTTCATCACTGTTAAAGTGAAAGTGGTAGTCACTCATTCTGACTCTGTGACCCCATGGACTGTAGCCCGCCAGGTTCCTCTGTCCATGGGATTCTCCAGGCAAGAATACTGGAGTGGGTTCCACTTCCTACTCCAGGGGATCTTCCCACCTCAGGGATTGGCGGGCAGGTTCTTCAGCAGTAATGCCACCTGGGAAGCCCTCTTGACAGGTCAATGTACAATGAAACCCAATGTGGCATTATAGGCTTTGGAATCAGACAGACCTGGATCAAAGCCAGGTCTCCTGCATTGCAGGCAGATTCTTGACCACTAGCACCATGTAAGGCTCCACCTAAATGTTCTGACAGTTGTTGCTCATTTTCAGGTCTGTTTTTGGGAAGAGGTGAACCAGGATCACCCGGAGGACCGGCACATGTGAGAACCCCAGGGAGTTATCTTCTGTGCCTCAATTGGAGCCACCTCCTCCAGTGACTATTTCCCTCAAGGACCAAGAGACCTCCTCAGATGAGGTGTGCATGTATCTTCAGGGAAGGTTATAAGTTTGGCTGTGTCCCAACATGCTCTGAGGCAGAGGTTTGGGGCTTAGCCAGTCAGACCTCCTTTTTACCTGTCTGACTGAGACTTCCCAGCAGAGCTCTGGAAAGTCAGAGAAAGTGTCAGCTGGAGCGTTTGAGCAAGTAGAAACAGGATGTATTTCACACCGAAGGTAATTACACGGTGGGTGTAGTAAACGGGACTGAGGCAGCTGAAGTCACACAACAGAGATGCCTCCGACTGGCTGAGGAATGTTTCTCTGTCGTGGATAAATATTTTGCAGCAGTTACCTGGGTGAAAACCAGCTTCCTGTAAAGGATTGATTTAAAAAATAAATAAATACTCTTGAGGGCTGAGTGCTCTGTAATTATTTCCCAGCTAATGGTACCAACTCAACTTTATGTAAAGGGAAGGTTCAAAAACAATCTTCATCCTTCAAGGACCATTCCTAAGTGTGTAACTATTGCTCCACAGCTTCAGAGTGAGAACTACTTGTTCCCTTGTTCTTCAAACAGAATTCACAGCTATAGAACACTCCTTAAAAAAAAGAAAGCCATTTAATTTAACCCTCATAATGTAGCTGAAAGTCCTGTGTGTGACCTTAGAAGGCAGAAGGCTTAACGCTGAGCTCCTTGGCCAGGGAACTTCTGTAAGCCTTTGTTTTCACCTCCATAAATAAGATAATAATATGTCTATTTCTACTAGGTGTAGGGAAGTTCAAGTGGGATTGTGTTCCATTAGGCAACAAACATCGAGTGTTGGTTATGTCCCTGGCACTGTGCTAGATGCTGGGAACAAAAAAGAAAGGATCCTTTAGCCTCAAGAACTCCCAGTGTAGAGAGGCCAGAGCCTTCAACGAGTGACCTGTTCCATACTAAGGGGTGCCGTGGAGGCACAAGCCCGTTCCTTGGACAGGCGCCCCAGGAGGCCCACGGCTATCACCCTGGAAGGACGGCACGTGGGAGGTGGCACCATGCTGGGTCATGAGGGTGTGTAGGCCCACCAGAAACAGACGGGGACGACCAGGAGGAGAACCGTGGGTGGCTGTGAAGCAGCATGGGATTAGCCGCCGCCCTCTCGGGTGGCTCGGAATTACCTGGGACACAGGACAGGGCGGGGGCGGGAAGATGAAGCTAGGGAGAAGGGAAGGCAGGGTGGGCAGAGCCAGCCGGCGCGCTGCCCGTGACTCGCTTGGGTTTCCTGCCGCAGGCTGGCACTGGAGAAGGAATATTGGCAAGCGTTAGCAGGGAGAGTAGGGCACAGCTGAGGGTGTCCCGGTTTGCCCTCATCACGTAACATGGAGCCGGCCGACTGCTACCCAGCCAGCTATGTAGAGCAGACCTCCTCTGGACCCTGATCACTCCCGAATCTGCTCCTGTATAGTCAGGTACCTATTGTAAGTGACTTCTCGCAGCCGTCAGCAAGTCCTTCGCATCCCACGGCCGCACCCGGTCTAGGACTCCTCACCTCCTTACCAGTCAGGATCACAGACGTGCTGGACCACCCTGCCCAGGTTGCCGTGTGCGTAGGTCCCTCCCTTGTTCTCGCGAGAGTTCCCAGGCCGCAGACAAGGCTGCCCCGTGAATCTCAGCATCCCACTGTCTCCATCGCTGTGATTCTGTGATCTCCCCACCCTCCTCGACTTTGCCTCCAGCAAACCATGAGAGGAGAGGTCCTGGTCTCATAACAGGTCAACAGCCAACTTCCCAACCACCAACTGCGAAGGGAGCAAGCTGGTTCTACTACTTTTCTTACCTTCAGAGGTGATAAAGCATCGTGCATGCTGCCTTCCTTGCCTTGGATATCTGATTGCTTAATTTTAACAGCTAAATAAAAAACATTATGTCAATCTACCATGCAAAACAACATTAAAATGTAAAAATATATGTACGGTTATAATTTTTATTTGACTAACAGCTGACAAAATATTAAATATGACTGAATTTAATTATCATTGTACATGCATAGATGATCTTTTCATGAGTGGCAATGAATCAATAATAAGGCCTAAATAATAATAAAGTATTATATAATTATTACATACATTTTATTTTCTTGCCTTATTTCAGCTTAATTACGATTTATGTTATAATCAAGATTTTCATATCATTTATGCTCACTTGTAACAATGACATAAAGGGTAAAAATGACCTTGTAATTATTTGAAGGTAACAAAGTATAAACATATTTTATTTATAAACAAGTGGAAAATTTTAGAATTATTTTAATATACATTTCCAAATAGTTATTTTCTCCTAAAATAGTCAAAATTACCTTTTAAAACTGAGGCCAATTACAGACTATAATTCATAAATATGAAACCTTTAAATCAAAGTGACTTCGAGCTGTGTTTTTAATTCTTTGAATATTTGAACCTATTAAATATTTTATAAAAATAAAATTATTTGTATTTCTAGCATTAAATGTCTCTTTAGATGCCAACATAATTGCATGTCATGTGTATATTTATAAGCACACAAGTTTAATTGTAATATGAGTTTTGGAATATTGCAGAATGATTCTGTTGTGATGACCTGCTAATTTGTAAGTACTTCCAAAATCATTCAATGGACTACAAATAAGTTAACCGGCAATACTGTGAACCAGTATTTATTTCTGCAAGAGTCTGTATCTTCTAGGCTGTCTGAAAGGAAGGTCTTCGCAAGTTAATTAATTTGTCTTTTACCTTCACACTTCTGTCCCAGTGTTTAGATACAGTTGTCTATTGTTTCAAGGACAGATGAACAAGAGGAGTGGACAGGTGATTCCCTGGGACCTGAATGGCATTCACTGTGAGAGCAGTTCCATTTTCAGAAAGAATGTTGGCAGGTTATGATGAAGGGCTGATTTTGGTAACAAATGACAGAGGTGCCCATGTATTTCTTTACTAGATTTTTTGATTGTTTGGGTTATGTGTGTTTATATTATACAAGGCCCTCTAAAGCAAGGACAAATAAAACACAGGATGTACAATTAACTTGATTTCAGATAAATTAGAACTGTTTATTTAGTGTGTGTACCCTAATTGCATAAGATACACTAATATATCCTATATATACAAATAAATGCTAATTTAGTATATTGCATAGCTATACTAAAAAAAATTGTTCATTGCTTATCTGAAATTCAAAGGTCACTGGAGCTTCCAGAAATTTTATTTGCTAAATCTGACAACCCTCAGGGCAAAGAACATGCTTTCTCTTGCCCAGGACTAAATGCAATTCTGAGCTCAAAGAGCTTTATTTGGAACACAAAAAAAGAGAAAAGCAGGTTTCTGAAAATCTCAGCCATGACTCCTGTGAGAGGAATGTTGAATATCTCTTACCTATCACCCAGGTAGGCAGAATCAGAGAGGTGAATTTCTCATCAAGAACGTCTGTGGGAAACCAGAAGATGAGTTCTTCTCTCACAAATGTTTCTTTAATCATGAAGCCATGGAATGTTATTGGCTTATTCTGTCATAAAACTCGAATAATCCCTAGCTCTTCATTTATTTATTCATGCATACATAAAATATTCATAAAACCTTTTTATGTACCACGCAATACTATTTAATAGTTGAACAGTCCTATGAGATAGATGTTATTATGTCAGTTTCACAGATACAAGAAATGAAGCTCAGTGAGGTTAAATAATTGGCCTAAGATCACCCACTTGGTACATTAGAGAGGCCGAGTCTAAGCCAATGTTGTTCTGATACACAACTTACAGTGGAGATTTGAGCCGGGGTGCAGAGAGGAGAGAAGAGTTAGTCATTCTTTAGTGCTTCTTATACCCCAGGCATGACTGTGGTTTAAATGACTGACAATCTTTCCTGTTCTTGTCAGATAGAATTCTGACCTTTCACCAAAAAAATGGAAGAAATTGTTTCCATAAGATAAAAACTGTTTCCATGAGTTTAAAAAAAAAAAAAGTGTTTGCTCTTCTTAAACTTGTATGGAAATGCAAAGGACCTAAGTTGCCAGAACTATTTTGTAAACAGACAAAGTTAGAAAGCCTATACTACCTGACTCAAAGCTTATTATAAAGCTACAGTAATCAAATACATGTGGTATTTGCATAAGACTAGACATATAGGTCAATGGTAGAGACTAGAGTCCAGAAATAAAGGCATACATTTGTTGTGGTCAATTGATTTTTGAAAAGGGTGCGCAAGATGAAAGCATAATCTTCTGGAAAAACTAATTATCCATTGGTGAAAATAAACAAACACACAACAGCAATAACAATAAAATACTTAGACCCTTAACTCACACTATACACAAAAATAACAACATATACCGTAAATCTAGTGATAAGGGCCCAAACTATAAATGGGGCTCCCCAGGTGGCTCCAATGATAAAGAACACGCCTGCCAATGCAGGGGACATAAAAGACATGGGTTCAGTCCCTGGGTTGGTAAGAGTCGCTGGAGGAAGGCATGGCAACCTTCTGCAGTATTCTTGTCTGGAGAATCCTATGGACAGAGGAGCCTGACAGGCTACAGTCCATGGGTTGCAAAGAGTCAGACAAGACTGAAGTGAGTTAGCATGCAAACTATAATGAAAAAAATTTTTTTGAAACCTGCTGTTCATTCTAAGACCTGAGAATTAAGGGGTGAATAAAGTGTCAAAAAACCCCTTACACTGATGAGCTTACATCCTAGTGAGGGTAGACAGATACTAAACAAAATGTTTAAAAATTTTATAATATATAAAGCAGCTATAGACCAATAAAAATTTTGGCTGACTTAAAACTCAACATTCAAGAAACTTGACATCACCGACTTGATGGACATGAGTTTGAGTAAACTCCAGGAGTTGGTGATGGACAGGGAGGCCTGGTGTGCTGCAGTCCATGGGGTGGCAAAGAGTTGGACATAACTGAGTGACTGAACTGACTGATATAAGTTGGTGATACGAGCTATTGAGAAAAGAAAGTCAGTAAAGGGGTATAAGTTTATGGACCTGGTGTCTGGAGGGCACACTGGGAAGATGAAACATGAACAGAGACTTAAAGGAAGTGAGAGTGAGACCCAGGGCATCCTGGGTAGAGCATTCCATGTAGAGAATGGAAAGTGCAAAGGTCCTGGGGTACACAGAGCAGCAAGGAGTCTCATGCGGCTCAAGGTGAGCACAGGAGGGAAGAGGGCTCATGGCTCAAGTCACAGGCCTTGCAGCCATCGAAAGGACTTGGGGTGAAGAGCATCACATCTGACGCAATTAGAAATTTTAAAAACAAAAAATTCTAAGAGAATATGGCTTTCACTATGCAATGTTATCTGTCCATTAGAGAGCTCTCCTGAAGACCCTCGGCATAAACACATTGATCCTCAGCACCTTTGGGAAGAAACTAGTTCATAGGATTCATTTCAAACTCCTTACCAGGATGGCCAATGCTCTGTAGCCTAAATCTCTAAAAATTAAAACTCACACTGAGCACATACACCCTCCAGATATACAGTGTATACGTGCACATGCACCAAATCGTATACCATTTCCCATTTTACTTGACTCAAATGTCACTTCTACTGTGAATGTTACCTTCATTTCATCAAGTTCCCTCTCTATTCTCAGAGTGCTAGTAGACACCTGAATTAGTTAGGAGAAGTAGATAACAAACACTCCCTTTAAGGTATAGAAGAACAGCAATGTATTTCTAGCTGATGCAGAGCAGGCTGTGGTTTGGGAGCCTCTTCTGGGTAGCTGAAGAGGGAAGGCTCAGCATTGCACATAATGGTTACCCGTCCTTCCACAATCACTTAAGATATCAAATGAAAACGCTATGGAGTCTCAAGTGCTGTACTGTGCTGTTTTTAGTTGCTTAGTCATGTCCGACTCTTTGCAACCACATGCACTATATAGCCTACCAGGCTCCTCTGTCCATGGGGCTTCTTCAGGCAGGAATAATGGAGTGGGTTGCCATGCCCTCCTCCAGGGGATCTTCCCAACACAGGGATCAAACCCAGGTCTCCTGATTGCAGGCAGATTCTTTACCAGCTGAGCTACTAGGGAAGCCCATGGAGTGTCACACTGGCAGCTAAATGCTTCTGCCCATACAATTTTTTTCTAACATTTATTGACCAGAGCAACTCTCCCCTGCCTAGAAGGGCAACTAGAAATATTGATAGATAGCATCTATCATAGAGCCTCTTTACTAGAGCTTGTCAGACTTGATTTGTTTATTTGTGTGTCTCCCCCACCTATCACATGTGTCCTTCTCAAAGGTACTATCACTTACCATCTTGATTTATTTTGACCTAGCCCAGCTCTGTCCTTGGCATGTAGTGGGTGCTGAATAAACTTTTTGTTGTTGTTTTTTTTTTTTTTGCATAGACTTTTATTCATTTCTATTTTTAAAATTATTATTATTATTTGGCCATGCAGCATGTGAGATTTTAGTTCCCAGACCAGGGATTGAACCCGTGTCCCCTGCATTGGAAGTACAGAATCTCAACCACTGGACTGCCAGGGAAGTCTCCACATATATATTCTTTATGGAAAGCTTACAGGTGTGGCTCAGAGAAACTAGGCGTTCTGCAGTTTTGCATTTTTTTTTTCTTTCTGGT